AATAATAATAAACTTTATTTATACTCCAACACCATCTTCCCAACGGGGACCCGGGGCGGCTCAAGGAGGTCAGATGGCCATCTGCTGGGAAGGCTTTGATTGTGTCTTCCTGCCTGGAAGAAGTGGGTTGGAATTAATGGCCTTGGGTCTGGCACTAATGTTCACTTGGCATTACTCTGCTCCTGTGGACAAAACATATGGAATAGAGGCATTTTCAGGTTTGTTATCACCTGCCTGTCCTTCTCTGTTGGTCTAATCTCAGGGGCCTAATCTCACCTTTCCCCCCCAAAAAGCACACCTGGCTTTGGTCAAGGGTTTTCTCAGCCAGAAAGAGCAGAACCCGGCACAAAACAATCTTTTTTGGCATCGGACACTTTCCATTGCTAAAGCCGAGCCGGAAACCCATTTGGAAAGGGTTCCCCAGGGGTCATCTAGTCCAACCTCTTGGTTGTCCCAACAATTCCTGAGATATGATTATCTCTCCTCTGTGTAAAATCCCCCAAACAAGTTGTGATCTCCACCTTTCTGAGCAAGAAATCTGCTGAATGGAGAGTTGGGAGTTTGAAGTCATGAGTCGGTGTGAGCTCCCGCTGTTAGCTCTAGCTTCTGCCAACCTAGCAGTTCGAAAGCATGCAATGCGAGTAGATCAATAAGTAAGGTAAAAGGGTGCCCCATATAGACATGCCAGCAACACAATAGGAGATGTCTATGGACAACAGGCTTCTTGGCATGGAAAAATGGAATAATATCCCCTTCCCATGGCGGGAGTTGAGCATCGCCTCCGGACGCCGGAGATGTGTATTGTATGTCATTGTATTCACTGTGTAAAAGGCACTGAATAATTGCCTTATGTGTGTACTGTAATCCTTCGCATAAGCGTACAAGAAGCTCGGCCTGTCAATAATAATAATAGTAATAATAATAATAATCTTTATTTATACCCTGCTACCATCTCCTCCAATGGGGACTCGGAGACAAGGTGCTTGTTTATAAAGCCATTGTTCTCCCAACCCTGCTATATGTCTGCGAAACGTGGACTGTCTACAAATGTCAACATTGACACCGAAATACAACACCGCCTGAGCTCTGTGAGTGCAGCATTTTTCCAAATGAAGCAGAGAGTGTTTGAGGACCGAGACATCCGTAGGGATACCAAGGGGCTTGTTTATAAAGCTATTGTCCTCCCAACCCTGCTATATGCCTGTGAGACGTGGACTGTCTATAGATGTCAACATTGACACCAAAATACAACACTGCCTGAGCTCTGTGAGTGCAGCATTCTTCTGAATGAAGCAGAGAGTGTTTGAGGACCGGGACATCCACAGGGAGACCAAGGTGCTTGTTTATAAAGCCATTGTCCTCCCAACCCTGTTATATACTTGCGAGATGTGGACTGTCTATAGACGTTGACACTGAAATATAACACTGCTTGAGCTCTGTGAGTACAGCATTCTTCTGAATGAAGCAGAAAGTGTTTGAGTATCGGGACATCCGTTGAGACACCAAAGTGCTTATTTATAAAGCCATTGTCCTCCCAACCCTGCTGTATGCCTGTGAAACGTGGACTGCCTACAGATGTCAACATTGATACCGAAATACAACACCGCCTGAGCTATGCGAGTGCAACATTTTTCCAAATGAAGCAGAGAGTGTTTGAGGACTGGGACATCCGTAGGGAGACCCAAGGTGCTTGTTTATAAAGCCATTGTTCTCGCAACCCTGCTATACGCCTGCGAAATGTGGACTGTCTACAGACGTCAACATTGACACCGAAATACAACACCGACTGACCTCTGCAAGTGCAGCATTCTTCCGAATGAAGCAGAGAGTGTTTGAGGGACGGGACATCCGTAGGGATACCAAGGGGCTTGTTTATAAAGCTATTGTCCTCCCAACCCTGCTATATGCCTGCG